AGAGTGTGTCATGACCTGACTGTAGACCCCACTCCTCTGAGAGTGTGTCATGACATGACTGTAGACCCCACTCCCCTGAGTGTGTGTGAGCAGCACATCTTACCCTTCACAGTTTGCTTTGGATCCTTATCATACTGTAGGCTCTCCACTTCACTTTCTGTTGCATCGTCTTTGGTTGGAGGTGTCTGGTTTTGAGGTAGGGCAGGGGACACCCTTGGTGATTTTGGCCCAGTGAGTGTCTTCTCCTTTATGGGGGTTAAAACTCTCTTCTGTGAATGCTCTGGTTCATGTCCATTCTGGGTCTTTAATTCAATTAAAGACTAAAAACAATTTTTAAAAATAAAGTATAATTTGCAAAATACTTTCCTTCATAATTAAGCAAAAAACTTGGCGCTCCTTTTTAGAAAGCACACGCTTCCTTTCCCAGTCTGGATATTCCTAGTCTATTTTTCTTCATAATTTGCAAATTTCCTTAAAGCATCTAGGACCAGAAAAAGGAAGATGAACAGGAAGGAAATACAGTATCCAGAGCTGAGTACCAAAATGCATCCTAATGGCTAAGAAGGGGGGAATCTGAGAAAAGAGGAGAGGCCTGGCATGTTAGGGTTAGGCCTGGAACCAAGATAGACAGGGCAGTGGTACCAGACATCGGTGTGACTTCTTCCACAACCTTGTCCCACTCCCTCTCCACCCAGTTGCTCTTTCCATGTGCGGACTTTTCAGTTTTCCTATCTTTAGTTTGTAACCTACAAATAAATCCTTTGAAAGAACAAGATAGTTAACTTTTTAACAAAGCTAAACATATTACTACAACTACCACTACTACTAATAATAATAGGGGGGAGGAGGCAGAAGAGGAGGAGATGGAAGAGAAGGAGGAGGTGGAGGAGGATGGGGAGGAGGCAGAGGAGAAGAAGGATGATGATGAGGAGGAGAAGGAAGAGGAGGAAGAAGAGGAAAAGGAGGAAGAGGAAGAGGAAAAAGAAAAGGAGGAAGAGGAGGAAAAGGCTGAGGAGGAAGAGGAGGAGAAGAAAAAGAATGAGGAGGAAGAAGAGGAAGAAGAAGAGGAAGAAGATGAAGAAGAGGAAAAAGAAAAGGAGGAGGAAGAGGAGGAAAAGGTGGAAGAGGGAGAGGAGAAGAAAAAGGAAGAGGAGGAAGAGGAGGAGGAGGAGGAGAACAACAAATGGCCAAGGAGAGGAGGCACTAATGTACCAAGAATCATGCTTTAGCTGAGGTTGTATCCAGCAAAAAAAAAGATAGCACTACTGTAGACTCCAAAACATACGTCTCTCACCAGCTGTCTTGTGGCACCATAAATAGCTATGAACTGGGAGCAGGGAAACACGGTTTCCTCTGCAGAAGACTGCCCCAAAGGCCAAGGCCCAACATACAGTCACAAACTGCAAAGCAGAGTCAGTAGGCTTTCTGAAATTTATTCAGAAAGGAGATATGGTAAAAATGTATGGCACTAGTGAAGGAGAAAAAAATACTTGTGTTCCAGGGAACTCCACAGAGTCAACATTTGTAATCATGAGCATGGGAGAACTGACAAAAGCAGAGTCACCACCTGCCTGGGAATCGATGCCTTCTCTCTGCAGAGCCACTGACACTCCCACAGTTGGGGCCAGCTCCAGAGGAACAGGAGCAAGCTTCTGCTTGGCTCGGTTTGGAGGGTCCAGGGTAAAAGCACCCTCGACTGTGACAGGATGCTGGTTAATCTCTGTACTGCCCTTCTTCAGTAATCCATTTAAAGGTATTTCTGTACTGCCAAGTGACTGATCTCCACAGCAGAGATGGATCTAATAGGAAAGAAAAATCAAAACAGGGCTTTACATTTCCCCCTTTTTCTTTCTTTTTTTTTTTAAAGATAGATTGTATGTATGTATGTATGTATGTATGTATGTATGTGTTTAATGTATATGAGTGTTCTACCTACATGCCAGAAGATGCATCAGAAATCATTACAGATGACTGTGAGCCACCATGTGGTTGCTGGGAATTAAACTCGGGAAGGACAGCTGCTGGCTCTTAACCCCTGAGCCATTTCTCCGGCAACACCCCTTCCTTTCTTAAATAGCATAAACTTTATGTTTAGTCTCATCAGTAAACTGTGCTTATTTTAATACTTAATTAAATTGAATATACTACTTTGAATATGTAGATTATGTAATAAAATAAGTATGACTTTAAATAGAAATCAAATACCTCAAGAATTTTTCGCCGGGTGGTGGTGGCGCATGCCTTTAATCCCAGCACTTGGGAGGCAGAGGCAGGTGGATTTCTGAGTTCGAGGCCAGCCTGGTCTACAGAGTGAGTTCCAGGACAGCCAGGGCTACAGAGAAACCCTGTCTCGAAAAAATAAATAAATAAATAAATAATTTAAAAAAAAATTAAAAAATAAAAAGAATTTTTCTTCCACTGTCTCATTAAGTGCAGTTCTTAAAAAATCAGCTAGATTTAAAATTTTAAAAACACCAATAATTTTTGTATTAATCACTCATCAAACATACTGAGTGTTCCTTTTTCTTCATTTTGCTTCCAGATTTTGTTTCTAAAACCAGTAAAAGGTAAGAGAAAAGCACTAGGCAAGAAGGCTCAGTCAGTGACAACCAGGCCAGAGCTCAACGTCACCACCCCTTAAAGATGCTACACACGCAAACACAGAACTCCTTCTTGCCTTTGGGAGACTATGCACTAAAGAACATAAGGAAATTAGTTTCCTCTCATATTAGCAGTAACAGAATTACGACAGACATATAGTAACTTTTGAGGCAGTGTCTTACTCTACATAAAAAGCTGGCTTTAAACTGTAATCTCGGTTCTCTCTTCTTGCTTGCATGCGAGGGAACCCTGTTATACTAGAATCATTAAACCTCTTGCTGGTTGCATCAGAAAAAAAAAAAAAACCTGTAATCTCCTGCTTCTATCTTCTGTATGCTGGTGCTACAGATTTATACAAATGTATGCAACCATAACTGTATTAAAGCTACTGGAGGTGACTTCATTTGTGAAACATTTTTCTAGTTCTTACTATGTGGTACCTGCACGCCTTTGTGAGTGTATACAAGTGAAACAGCCAGGAAAGGACCATGTCCATTTCATCACTTTCCACCATATTCTTTTGAGGCAGGGTCTCTCCCTGAACCTCAAGCTCATGTTTTGTGGTAAGGCTAGCAGCCAGCAGGTCCTGGTGATCATCCTGTCTCTAGCCCCAGTGGTGCAATATTACAGGATATGAAACCACTAATAGCTGATTACAAAGGTGCTGAGACCCAAATGTGCCTTCTCATGGTTGGGTAGAAAGGCTAATGCTTCTAACTACAAGTCCCAGTCTAGTATCTTTAGAAAACTAGAAATGAAGTTACTCTGGTCTATTAATTGCTACCATATGTGCATGCATGCACATGTGAGAGGGGTGTGTGTGTGTGTGTGTGTGTGTGTGTGTGTGAAGGTTGAGGTCAGAGGATAACTCTGTGGAGTTGGGTCTCTCCTTCCACCTTTATGTGGGTGTCAGGGATTTAACTCACATTGCCAGGCTTTTGAGGCAAACAGCTTTCCCACTGAGCAATCTCATCAGCCTTTAGATATAATATTTTTCACATGATAGAAACAAAGCAATTTCATTTATTTATTCATTTTTAAATTTATTTTTACATTCTTAATTTTGTGTGTGTGTGTGTGTGTGTGTGTGTGTGTGTGTGTACGCACGTGTGAACGCACATATGACTGCAGGTGTCCAGAGTCTACAGGAAGACATGAAATCTCCTAGAGCTGGAGTTACAGGCAGCTGTGAACCACCTGACATCAGTGCTGAGAAAGGAACTCCGGTCCTGTCCTCTGTAAGGGCAGCACCACCCCTAGCCACTGAGATAGCTCTCCAGCTCCCCAACAAACTAGCTTCATAACTTGAATGTGCATTAGAAGCAGATAAGCCAATGATATTGATAAAAAATCAAATTGAAAGTACTTTTCCTCAAGTTTTAATATTGTATACAGTCTCTAGTTTTCTAAATATCTTGGGTTTAGCAGATACTGGGTTAAATATGTTTAAGGTTCAATATCTCTAACATTTAATACCTCATGAGCTGCCCAAAATACGAAGTCTAGTAACAGAGCTTGTCTTGTAGACGGCTATGTAACTGTGCATGTTGATCTCATTATCCTACCTTCCTGCTGGTCAAAGCCAACTATCAGAGCAGATAGCAGACTAACCTCTACTAACCTCAAGGTCTGTATTTAAACAGAATCCAACTGAAACATATTTACAAAAAACAACTGCGGGTAGGTTTTATAAAACTGTAAATTCTGCCATCAAGAATTGTATCTGTGTCCTGACAGCTACCCTTTCCACTAACAGTACAGACACCCTGCGGGCAAGACCAGGCTCCCTCAGCTTCAAGTACTACCTCATAGCATATAGGATAACTGGTACAGCTCATCTTAGTAACTGGGTGGGAGGTAATGTGTTAACTCCAACAATTCTGAAGCGACTGTAATTCCAACGACTTCAAGGTTTTAATGCCTACAAAACTGAAAGGGCAAAACCATCTCTACTACAGAAACACAGTACAGGTTAGGACTAACCACAGTTTTATGTGCAATGCTTTAAAAACATCTCCAGTAGAAAACAATTTGCAGAGGCACTTACCTGCAGTTTAGAGTGAAGAGCCAGGTACACTCGAAGAATCTCCACACTGCTACGTATGCGAACAGATGCCCTCTCGGGCTCAAAGTTTGGGTTGATCAAATCACTAAAAGGCTCGTTTGTAACATCATTTCCCAGTAAAGAATAGTAAAAAAAAAACTCAGGCTGCCTTTCTGGAAGCTTCATCGTACATGGAATTAACTAAATATATAAGGAAAAAAGATTATTAGAATCTAAGGCACTCCAAAAAAAAAAATCTTCCTAGAATGTCCATTGATTTGTATTAAAATTAACTTAACAGAATTTTTAAGTTTCTGCCAAATTACCTTTTTTCCTTCTTTCTGTTGTAGTTAGTGATTTCTTTTGGTGGTACTGCTAGGAACCAAACTAAAAGTCTTACAAATTGTAAAGCAAGTGCTTTACAATTAAGCTACAGCCCCAGCTTTTGGCATTTTATGAGCTATGTCTTGTTATCTAGTACAGGTTGGTCTGAAGCTCCCACTCTTCTTGCCTTACAGTGCCCCGAGTGGTGGGTTTTAAGCATGTAGCACACTGCTTACTTCTAGATTGTTCCCAAATTACTAATTTGATTAATTTTAAAATATTTATTTTCATTTTATGTGTGTGAGTTTTACCCTCATGTATATAAATGCACCATTTGTAGTCAATGCCCATGGAGGCCAGAAGAGGGCCATGGATTCCCTGGACTGGAATTACAGGCAGTTGTGAGCCTCCATCTTGGTACTGGAAACCAAACCCAGGGCCTATGCAGTTAACGGTAACCCATTTCTCCAGCCTCTAATGTTTTGGGGGCTGGGGCAGACAGGATCAGTATGTAGAGCTGACTGGTCTGGAACTTGTAAAGCTCAGTTATGAAGCACTTGGCAAAGCACAATATACCAGGAATGTCACTTCTCAGCTGCTGGCTTGTGGCAATGTGTGACTAAAAGATGGTATTTTTATTTACTTATAAGACAGAAAACATCATCTTTTTTTGTTTTTTTTTTTTTTTGTTTTAGTTTTCTGAGTCAGGGTCTCATATAGCCCAGGCTGGTCTACAGCTATAGCCAAGGCTGTCCTCAAACAGATCCTTCTACCTCAGGCTTCCAAGTGATAGGATTACAGACATGAGCCAGTACACCAGGCAAACATGAAACATTTCCAGCAGGCTATGAATGTTCACTATCACTGCTAGGCACTATGCTATGAACATTTTGTGTCTCAGTAAGAAATGGCTTCAATACAGTCAGGTGTCGTAGATCTTGGTGAACAGTGACACATTGCCATGAGATGACACTTAGGTAAAATAGATTGTTAGGCTAAAACAAGCTTTACTGTGGCTCGAGAGATGGCTCAGTGGTTTAAGAGCTTATTGCTTTTCAGAGGACTCAGGTTCAATTTGCAGCACCCACATGACGGCTCACCAGTATCCATAACTCCAACTGCAGGGAATTCAATGCCCTCTTCTGGCCTTTGAGGGTAGCAAGCACACAAATAGCGCACAAACATGTGTGCGTGCAGGAAAAACACTCATTCATATAAAATAAATAAATAAATCTAAAAATGTTTTTTCAAGGTTATACTATAGTTAATTCTTTAAAAACCTCTAACACTGACACCACAGCACTGGACATCTAACATTCAATAAACGTGTACTAAATTGTTTTAACCTACATTTTAATGTACTTGAGAGGATTTTAGTCACATGATATGTAATTGTAAAGAAAACTAATTCTGGAGAAACCTTCAGAAATTGACATAATTGTTCTGTGCCTCCTTTTGTTTTGGTGAAGTTGAAAGGAAAGAGTATTGTAGTATGACAATGCCAATCAGAGCTCTGGCTGAAATAACGGAACAGTGTCCGGAGGACCACGCACTAGTCTTAACACTGATTACCTTGGGGAAGTTAGGGAACGTATTTATTTTCTTTCATGATGAAAAAAAAATGATATAAAAAGAGTTGTATTACAGTAGCTTTTATGTATTTCATAGTATGTTTAACTTCCAAGTAATTCCTACTACAGGCAGAGTGTCTTTTAGAAATTCTTTAACACCCTAGACTTCAGGCGCAGGATACCATTCAAAGCTTTTAAGACTTAAAAAGAGCAGTGAGGTTATACAGCAGTGAACAAGCTGCCGAGTTGTCTGCACTCTTGTAGGAACCCTCCTAGTGGCTGCTTGGCCTCTGCAAAGGACTTCAGTTTGTGCTCAACACTTTCATGCTTTCTCCTGCCTTTGAGTAAGTGCTGAGAGGAAAACACTAAGTGTCTTGGTTTCACCCAAATAGAAACAATGTAACCAGTGAGCAATCACAACCACCTTTTCCTGTTCCCAGATGCAGAAAATCACAGCTCTGCTTCCTACCGCCATACATGCCCTGTAGTGATGGACTCTGTCCTCTGAAAGAAAGCCTTTCTTCTCCAGCTGCCTTGCTTACCGTTTTATCACAGCAACAGAAAAGTAACAAATGGACGGGGTGAGAGGAGCTCATAAAACACACCAATGTTTATGTTGTTCACTGTGGTGAGTGTGAAAGTCCCATGATTCTGACACAGGAACATACTAACTTCTGCTAGCACCCATGACAACAGGCTAACGTTTTTAAGTATAAACACAAGAAAATGTAATCCCCAACCCAAATGTTCCTGACATTGGTAATTTCCTCAAAAAGTATATTATTCAAAAAAGTCAACATAGAATTCCCCTTCATTACTCCTCACAACACCACACACACAAGTACGAACACTGTCCCTTAACTCTGAAATTGGTTTACTTCTCTGACGTCAAGATGTTGAAATCTACAGAAAAATGCTTACTAGTGTGAAAAGACTTGTAAACATTTTAATACTTTTTAGACAACATTTATGAGGGGTGTGAGTCCACGTGTGGGTATGTGCACGTGAGTACAAGTGCTCACAGAGGACAAACATGATTTCATGTCTTACCTGTTCCAACTGGGTGGCAAACGCTATGGTCACTGACAAAATAAAGGGGTCAGTACAATACTCTGCTGGTCCAATCTGATGGTACCCTCCTTCCTCATTCAACACTGCAACAATGTCCTTTGGGTCAACTCCTGACAGGCTAGCAGAAACTACACAGACAAAAACACAACTACGTTAGACTGTAGTTTCCCATATTTTACTTACTATGTGGCCCATTACTTACTTACTATGTGGCCTAAGCCGGCCTTGAGTTTATAATTGTCTTGTTTTAACTTCTTATGTGCTGGAATTCAAGCCCGTGTCACAATGCCTGGCCCATTAATACACATTTGAAAACTCACTATATGGATTTATTTAAGAAGTTAGCCATTTCCATGGACACAGTATTGCAAAAAGTTTCCTTTATTTTTTTTCTAGGAAGCTTTAACTTTATTTTTCTATACATCAAAAACAATATTCTGAAGTAAAGTATTTTTTAAAATTACTAAGTAGGCCTGTACATAGAAAAGGAATATAATGCAGGTTTCTTTATGAACTTATGAGCTCTGGAGTGAAGAATATACTAGACTCTGCTGAGAGAGAAAGGTGCACCAACAGAGACCAGGCACGTCCCATACAGACATAGTACATAACAGACCCAGGAGCAAGTACAGGCTAACACAGCCAGGGAAATCAAGGCTGAGGAAGCCTCATGGAGCAGCCTCATAATCCCAAATACTGGGAAGCAAATGGACTCTATGTCCAAGGCCTGCCTGCCTGACACAGGTCTAGTTTACAGCCAGCCTGGGCAACTAGGATACTATTTCAAACCAAAAAAGTTGATAACAAGAGCTGATGGCACGCCTCCTTAGTAGGACGCCTACCCAGCAGTTTGAGCTCATGTTCACTGTCCATTATTAAATACAAAGCAAAGACCTAAGACAAGAGTGGCAGATCACTGAGTGAGGACTGACTACAGAATGAGCTGTTGCAGGACAGACAGAGACAGACCTCCGCACACTGAGTTACAAGGGAAAACCATTTAAAGGAATTGAGAAGAAACCAATACAGTCAAATGAGCACCAGTGTGAAAAGACTAGATAGTTCAAAGGTTTGCAAACTGATTAACGATGGAAAAGGAAAAGGACAATACACAAAAGTAGAACTAGATAAGAGTGCTAGGGGATGCAGCAGAACAGGCATGCTTGGTGCTTCAACTGCATGAACAAAAGACAGTGGGACTGCGTCATGCACGGCTTATGAAAATCTGCGTGCTCACACTGCAGCAAGCAACCTTAGCGCTTCACAAAGGAATGTGTTACTGTAGCACTGGCTAACAACAGCCTACAGTTAGGAGCAGACACCTAAGACAGATGTTGAAATCCCAATCCCAGGATCATTAACTACCTGTATCAGAAAACTGTAAGTCCTTCAGTTTCCATCTTTCCTTCTACAAAGCTTTTATGTGGTTGCTGAAGATCAAATTAAACTCTGAAAGTGAAGCACTCAGCATGATATTGGGCACTTTAACATGGGCAGCCCTTGTGGTAAGGCTGAGCTCAGGAGTTAAAAACAGTAACTATAATTGGTTTCTCCAGCTGCCGGCTCATGGTGTAACAACAGTTGGATGTTGAGGCAGAAGAACTGCTATAAATTTGTTGCCAACCTGGGCTACACAGTGAGTACTACATTGCAAAACTATCTAGAAACAACAACAACAACAAAGAAAGCACGAGGTTTCTTATGACCAAGGAAACAGGCTCTAAGTATGGAAATAAGGATAACTATCGTGACATAGAAAGGAATTAAAAGTGTCCATTTGAATACATACTATGCAACATCAAAAACATATGGATAGGGCTGGAGAGATGCCTCAGGGGTTAAGAACACTGGCTCTTCTTCCAGAAGTCCTGAGTTCAATTCCCAGCAACCACACGGTGGCTCACAACCATCTGTAATGGGATCTGACACCCTCTTCTGGTGTGTCTGAAGACAGTGACAGTGTATTCAAATATATAAAATAAATAAATCTTTTAAAAACTTTTTAAAAAATATGGATAAATGTATACAAATAGGTGTATGTATGTTACAGTTCATGTGTCTCTTCCAAAATTCAGGAGCTGAAACTTAATGGCAATTGTGATGACGGTCTTAACATCAGCGTCTCAGGCTGGACAGATGCTTAAGAGCATTGGCTGGTTCTGCAGAAGACCTGGGTTCAGTTTCCAGCACCCACATCACAATTGTCTAGAACTCCACCTCCAGAGGATCCCATGACCTCTTCTGAAAACTGAGCACACAGAACACACCTACATGCAGGCAAACACTAATCCACAGAAAAATAAAATTTTAAAGCAGCAGAGTCTTTATGAGGTAGTGAAGTCAAGACAGCTCCTTTAGAATGGGACTCGCTGTGCTCATTAAGGGACTTGACAGAGGATGTGCATTTCTTGCCTGTAGCCTTCTATCACATGAAGAACATCAACAAGACCAGCATTAGATACTGGTCTCTTCTCAGACATCCAAGCCTCCAGAACTGTAAGACACTTCTGTTCTTTACACATCACCCAGTAGCACATGCTAAGACTATTTATGTATTCAAGCATATATATTTATGCATGTGCATGTAAACACATGTACACACATTACATAACTTTGTCTACAAAAGGATCTGAGAGCAATAATGAAATAGCAATTGTTATACCTGGCACATGAGCTTTTACTCCTAAACATTTTTAGTAAAAGAAAGTAGAGGTCATTAGAGGAATGGCTGAACAAGAGCTGAAAGACAGGTAATACAAACAAAACCAGAACACCTTCCTGTGCAGAAACTGTAATTCCAGTGGTATGACACCTGAGAGGCAAAGCCATACAGATAGCAAAAAAGATCAGTAGCTGTCTTAGTACATCTGTTACTGCATCACAATACTTGAGACTAGATAAGTTATAAAGATAGTACCTTACAGTTCTCATGGCAGGGAAGTCTTGACCAGTCTTTTTTAGTGAGACCCTTATTAATGGGGATTCTTCAGGTCCTGAGGTAGTGCAGGGCATAAGACTTCAAAGATGGCCCCACTCCAGTGATCACTAACTTACTCTCCCAGTAACATAAGAATCCATTAGTCCATGAACAGAATTAGTTCATTCATAAAGGCAGAGCCCTGCAGTACAGTTAGTTCTCAAAGGTTCCAATTCCAAATTCTATTAGGACTTTAGAAATTAAGTCCCTATCACATGAATTATTCTCTGGGTGTACCTAACCTACAACTAGGACCTGTGGAAAGAGAAGGCTAAACAGGCAGAGCACAAAGGACACCCAACAGTGAACCTCTTCTAAATTTAACCAGATGGGGTACATGGCATCACCCCAATCAAAGCCCCTGACTTAACATCCAGTGTATACTGACATCCAGTGCAAACTGGACTTGTGGTGAGCATGCACCAATGATGTCTCATCGACTGCATCAACATCAGAGTGCTGAGTTGTAGTGGATGAGTTGCTCCCGTGAGTACACACTGAAGGTATGGGGCACGTTCTGTACTCTCTGAGTTCACTACTACGATGCCAAAGTGTGCCAGCTATGCTGGTGCATGTCTCTATCCCAGCCCTTGGCACGCAGAGGCAGGCAAATCTCAGTGAGTTTATAAATGTGTGTGTGTGTATCTCCAAGTAAACTATACAATGAGACTCTGATTCTAAATAAATAAAAATTTTAAAAATGTACCTAGACATTTGTTAAACTACAGTCAAATAATAAACATATTACCTTTGAGGGCTTTCTTATACTAATCCTGGAAAGAAACTTTTTCTAAGTAACAATTTTTAAACTATAAAAGTATTTGTTCTATTATCTATAAAGTTAAGAAAACAAAAGCTCTCCCAAGTTCTCAGAATTATAAGTAAGAGCTGACCTCTGTCAGCAAGTGTTGCACAGTCACCTGTGCCCACAATCCTGTGTCTGCCTGGCACACTGGGTGAATCGGCTTATATTCCTGCGTACAGCTTCCAGGCCATCACCCTTCCTAAAGTAAGTACACAGAGGAACTTGTGCAAGAAGGTCTTTATGAGAAGATGCACAAAACTACATACGGCAGTGCTTACCTATAACCCAAACAACCAAGAAGCAGAGGCAGGAGGATAAGTTGTACAAGGCCAGCCTCGGCTACACAGTGAGGTTCAAACTACTTGAGACCCTCTCTCAACACAAACAAACAAAGCAAAACAACAACAAAACCTACCAGAGACAGAGATGTACAAACCTTTTCCATCCCGAGGCGGGGCTCCTTTTGCTTTAAAACTCTCCACCTGTGCCTTTGTATCTGTTTCCAAAGTGATGCTTATCTGTACCTCGGACTTGAATTTGGTGTATTTGTTACTCAGCAACTGGTACCATTTGGGTGCCTAGATAACAAAGCAGAAAGCACCATGATGTTTACAGGGCTAAGTACTCAGAATGTTCATGAGGTTTTCACCTTTTCCCTGCAGCCTTCTCAGTACTTTTCCCCTCTTAAGAAAATATGAACCCAGGATATGGTGGCACAGCCTTTAATCCCAGCTCTAAGGAGGCAGAGTCAAGCAAATATCCAATTTCCAAGTCAACTCGTCTACACAGTGACCTCCAGACCGCCCAAGGCTGCACAATGATGCCCTGGCTCAGAGTACAACAAAATTTCTTTTCACACCTTCTTCAAAAGAAATTAAAATTGATTAGGAAGCCATCAACTACATTTCCCTTCAAGAAACATACTGAAGTGTTCAGACAGTCTTCTCTGTTCCCATTCCAACATTTTGTCAAGTAAGTATCACAGGGGAGAAAACAATACACATCTATCTTCAGCCTTTTGTCTCCAATATAATAACATCCATCAATAACAAAAGCCTAGTTAATCATCTGTTCCCATAACTCCTTTGCTTAGTGCTGCTTTTAGACCTCTTTTTTTCTACTCTGCCTTGATCCTAACAACTAAGAAAATGAAAATGTTATGACTTGTGCTCTGAGTAGAAATGGCCCCCATAGGCTGATATAATTAAGTCACCAAGGAGTGGAACGGTTTGAAAGGATTAGAAGGATTGGAAGTGTGAGCTTACTGGAGTAGGTGTGACCTTGTTAGAGGAAGTGTGTCACTAGGGATGAGCTTTGAGGTTTCAAAGGTCCATACCAAACCCAATCTCACTCTCAGCCTGTGAAAGAAGAAGCCACTCTCAACTACTTCTCCAGCACTGTGCCTGCTATGCCTGCTAGCCTATTACCATGCTCCCCAACACAGCGATAATGAACGAAGCCTCTAAAACTGTGAGCAAGGCCCTAATTAAACATTTCCCTTTACAAGAGTTGTCACAGTCTCTTCACAGCATTAGAGCAGTGACCAAGGCACTACTAATAAATAGCATAAAATGTTAAAGAAAAGGCCCTGTCCTGGGCAGAGACGGACAACAAAAGGCCTTCTCCTAGGATGTGGTAGACTAACTACCTGACTACCCACAAGACAACACCCTCAGAATTTCCAGTGCCCAGACCAGCCAGAACACATGGCTCAAACCAGGACAAAGTGTACCATAGGTACAGGAACCAGTCAGCAGGGGTATCATTTCACACCTATACATACATTTAACCTCAGATGCACACAAATAATTTAAATATAAATAAAAATGGAAAGAAAAAAAAACAATGAAGGAGATTGAGAAGACACTAACTTTAAAGTTTAAAATAAATTTTATTGTAGCTGGCACACGGCACTATATATATATATATAGTGTGTATATGTAGCACTTTAAGAAGCTGAGGCAGGGTCCATGTGCTTGTCCTTAAATGAGCTTTTGTTGCATGTTGTAAAGTACTATAAAAACCTTTAAAAAATAGGCTCTTTTAAAAAGAGCCTACTATAATATAATAATAATAATAAAAAATATAAGAAATATAAGATTTATAAAAGCCTGAAAATGACACATCAATAAAAAGGAAAACTTAAGGCAAACCTGTAATCTCAGCTACTTAGGATCCAAGGCCAGCAGGGGTAACTCAGTGTGACTCTGTCTCAAAATAAGAAGAGCTACAGATGCAGCTCAGTATAGGATGCAAGTCCAGCACAAAAGAAGTCCTATCTTCAACCCTGAAACCCAGGGCAGAGCCAGAAGCGACATCAACTGAAACCTACTCAATGTTTTTATCAGAACAAAAAACATTGTCTATTTTGGTATAATTTTGTTGGTGCTGTTTTGTGTGGGGCAGTGGGGTAGGTGGGGTAGAGGTTCTAGACATGGTTTTCTCTGTGTAGCTCTGGTTGTCCCAGAGCTCACTCTGAAGACCACACTGGCCTCAAACTCACAGATCCACTTGCCTGACCCCCAGAGCTGGGATTATGGCTTTCGTGGCTGGTTTGAGGAGCTAAGATGCCAAGGCGAGTGTGACCACAGGCAGCAAGAGACTTCTCAGTACTCACAGGCACAAGCCAGAGCACAGGGTCAGGCTGCTGCTACTTCAAACTGTCTCTAAAAGTCATCTATTTAGGCTTGACATGAACTTTTTAAATGTCAATTTAGAGGCTATTTGGGAGAAGGTGAAGTCTTACTATGTATGTAGTCCAGGCTGACCTCAAACTTGTAATCCTCCTGCCTCAGTCTCAAAAGTGCTGGAAAGTATCAAGTTTCACGAGGAAGATTAGGGAAAACAGTGTCCTGAGTCAGGATTTAGTAGAACAACTGAGGGATACAGCTACAGGGATACAGAACTAGAAAGCAAGGGAGCAACCAGGACGCTGTGATAGCCAAGGTAAGAAACTATGGCGGCTCAGATGGGGCAGCCGTGAAGATGCAGAAAAGATCACACGTGGACAAAATCACTTGCACCGATGGCTATGAAAAAGGAGCAGAAACGTGTCCAGCAGACTTTTGGATTTAGAACTTGGGAAAACCAAGAGGGGTGAGGAATGTTAACTGAACCAAGGGCCCTGGAGGAGGACAGCCTCTAAGAGAAAAGCTCGACCTATGCTGTGGGTGGTAGTAACTTTTACACAGGTTTGAGCTCCAGAACAAGTTTCTTGGAGAGAGACACCTCATAAAGACAAGTGAAAGGTTAGAATTTTCAAGTTCAACTCAAAAACTAAAGCATGAGTCTATACATCATCCTGAGGCCATGATTTACCACTGGCTTGGTATTCTGTTCTTTCATATGGTATTTATTTAATAAACTATTAATCATAATAATTAACAAAGCCAAAAGAACAATACCTGCTTTGTTTCTTGAGCTGTTCTTAAGTCCAAAACAATGTAGCCTATGGTTTCCTTGGCAGAAGTCTGAGGGTCCAAGGCGAAGCACTGGAGTTTGATAGGAGTGCGCTGTAACCTGCAGTGATGTACATGAGGAACAGTGAGGCTTTCCTATCTTAAGTTAGCTTTCTTGAACCCTTAAGATAACTGTATCCTCCAGATGACACCTTTTTTGGGCCACATACATACTTAAGACCTCACCTTCTCCCAAATAGCCTCTAAAATCTGACATTTAAAAGTTCGTGTCAAGCCAAAATAAATGTTTTTTAGAGACAGTCTGAAGTAGTAGTCTTTAGTAGACAGTCTGACCCTGTGCTCTGGCTTGTGCCTGTGAGTACTGAGAAACCTCTAGTCTGTATTTTCTAAATGATTCTTTACTTGGAGCGAACTATTTTTATCTATTTATCTGAATACCAATTAGGTCAGTTCTTCCTACACAGCTATGACATATCCAGTCCTCTGCAAGTCAGAAATTATCATGAATGTTTAAAAGTGACAAAAAAAATATTTTTCTTATATACTACTATTCCATATAAAAGACACAGATTTGCTTTCAGCTTTTTTTGTAGCTTAAAAAAAAAAAGGAAACTTAATAATTAAATGCCACAAAATCTAACTACTAAAATTTAGTAATAGATCACTTGGCAATGTTCTGTGAGATGACAATGACTGGTATAGTGTGGTCTTTCTGTGACTCTGGGAAACCCTATTCCAGCTCATGCACAGAGCTGGCATCACTGATCCAATGGAATCACTATTTAACTCCACTTAGCACAAATTCACTTAGGAATTCTTAGCCTAAATGGCCAAAGGACTGCATCACATGGTGCTAAGACAATTACATCTCATACAGAACTCAGCTTAAGCAAATATTCTGAATGCCAGTGAAAAGATAAAACTTTTGACATTCATTAAGAATAGCCCTTCAAGCCGGGCAGTGGTGGCGCATGCCTTTGATCTCAGCACTTGGGAGGCAGATGCAGGCAGATTTCTGACTTCAAGGCCAGCCTGGTCTACCAAGTGAGTTCCAGGACAGCCAAGACTACACAGAGAAACTCTGTCTCGGAAAAAAACAAACAAAACAAAACAAAAACAGAAAAAAGAATAGCCCTTCAAATAAACTTATGTTCTAATCCAGCAATAAAAGCAGTAAGAATTCTTGAATTTTGCTAATTTTCTGTTCTGATTTGATTTGGTGCCAAAGTGACAAGGGCGTTTTGGTGGTGGTTCTTTTTTTCTTTTCTTTTTTTCTGAAACGGGGTTCTATGTAGCCCAAGCTAGCTTTGAACTCCTCCACCTCCAAAGTACTGGGATTAGAGGTAAACCATACTATGTCCAGTTTTTAGAAATATATTTTTAATCATTTAATAAATAAAAGTACTGTTGTTCTTGACTGTTTCTAGTCATAAAGTTCATTTAAAAAAATGTATACTTTAAGTCCAGTTGAGGCAGGAGCCTCGGCCCCTGTGGGTGGCTCCATTCCCAGGCGGGGAGTCCTGAACATGGAAGAATACGGGAGGGTGAGCTGAGCCAAGCATGAGTGGACCACAGCACCGCTGTGCGGCATGCATGGGTCACCGCACCGCTGTGTGTGACCGGCTGCTGCAGGTTCCTGCAACCCTGACTTCCCTACAATGACATCTGTAGCCTGAACTCAGGGCTAAATTACCCTTCCTCCCTTAAGTTGCTTTCATGAGGGTGCGTTATCACAACAATATGAACTAAAACTAAGAGAGACCCTGTCTCAAAAGCAAAAATGCAAAAACAATCAACAAATATGATTATCATCATAATCAGTAAGTTATAAAACATAAAAAGCTATAAGAAAGGACAAAGACGTTGACAGAAGTTGAGAGTAGCCTCACCTGTGCTGATGAAGGACTTTCCTGTCAATCTCCCAGGCTAACTCAGTAGCAAATTCTGGCTGGTCAGTATGGTCGACAGGATCAGTGGCCAACTGCTCTCCATCAAACTTTGCTTCTACCACAAGCATATGCTTTGGACGTTTGGGGAAATGGCGACCTGAAGAAAGAATACACACATACAGAAATCAGAGGACCACTTAGTGCCTGTTTTAAATACTGATGTATGCTACAGGTAGCTGACCGGCATGTTGCATAAACTATCCCTCAAATGCATCTGCACTTATTTTCATAAACTGGAAGCTGTTATTTAGCAATTATCCCTTCTTCAGCACTAATGTGACTATGAATCATTTCGGATCCTGTTCCGATGTACTCAGGCTCAGCAGGTCTCGGTGGGCCTGAAAGCCTGAATTTCTAACAGGTTATCAGGCCTTACAGCATGAGTGCACCCACTCACTTGCGCACAGGGAAATACATTAAAAGGATAAATGAATGGTAAAATAAATGGCTTCAAAAAGAATAAAACAGGTACTTGTCCTAAAAAGAAAACTAAGGGCCTAAGAGAAAGAAAATTTCAAAACGGGAAGAAAGTAAACAGCAAGTAAGAATCGCTAATCGTCCTGCATGGAGGCAATTAGTTTGGCTTTCACTCTTCTGGGGGATCACTGATACGGGAATTTTAACCACTATTAAATAAATACCTACTCCCCCGTTCTTGGTTAGGAATTAAATGGGTAGAAAAGACCAAATTTGTTGAGATGGTGGTGCACATATATAACCCCAACACCTTTAAAATGGAAGCCAAGAGCCTGGATGATGAGACCCCAAAACAAACCCTAGCCAGGGTCTGTCAGCAGAAGAAGCTGAAAAAGAACTGCACCATGTGGAAAGCACTGCAGCAAGACACACACTGTGCCACTGCTGTGATCCAAACGCCTACCACCTTCACAAGTCACCCTGTGACAAACACAGTCTTCCCATCAAAGAGAAAGTAAAACTGGAGTGCCAAGGTAAGGGACAAAACGTTACCAAGACTGTGCCAATGAGGTGCTTAATAGATGGTCCAGGGAGGACCCCATCAACACAACCACCCAAACCAAGAGAGGCAATCATTGCAACATCCAGTCCATCTTGAGAATTTCAACAATCAGTCACAAAAGAAATACTCTGGTTTTAAGAAAGTAAGAAAAGGACCCTAATTCAGCCTTAAGAATGTCAGGTGAGGGACTAGAGAGATGGTTAGATGCAGGCTTGCTGCTCAATTGTGAGGACTGATGTTGGGAGTAACAAGCCAAGCAGCCTGTGATGTAAGTGCAGCTCCTAGAGCATTAGCTGAGACACCAGGATCACTGTGGGAGGCTGGCTCCCAGCTTCAGGGAGAACAGGCAGAGTGGTTGAGGAGGTGATTGGTCTCTGGAATGGCTTCTGGTCTCTAAAGGCATGAACAGGTATGCACATATGTGCACACACTCACACAGATACAAAAGTAAGTAAATCTGAAAACATCCTTTAACAATGTCAGCCTGAGGCTCTTTTTTAAACTCTGTCCTGGTTAGTTTTTTTGTTTGATTGATTGGCTTTGTTTTGTTTTGTTTTGCCACTTGGCATAAACTGGAGTCATCTAGGAAGAAGGACCCTGAATGGAGAAAATGCCTCCATCTGATTGGCTTGTAGGTAAGAAAGTCTGTGTGGGGTCAATTACTTGATTAATGTCAGCTGTGATGCAGGCTGTGGCAGGTGGTCTTGTATAGTATGAAAGAAAGCAGGCTGAGGCAGTCATGGGAAACAAACCCGTAAGCATCGTAGGCCCTCCATGGACTGCTTCGGTTCCTGCTCTGACTTCCCTCAATGATGACCTGTATTTGGGATGTAGGAGGAGATAACCCTTTCCTCCCCAGGCTGCCTTGTCTTTATCACAGTGAGAAGGCAGCCAACAGAAACCTTGTGTTTCTATCCTGGAACCCAGCACACAATGGTTTTGCCCGACATAGAAATTCAGTTCCTTTTAATAAGGACATTTCTAGACATGTACCGAAGAAATTATAAGTAGCTCAATGTAACCGGAGTCCTGGGGATATATGAAATCTAAAGGGTGGGCAGAAGTTCTTAACAGGAAGGGCCATGTTTACTATTCTAAGAGTATAGTAACCCCTTAGAACTCTGAAAAAAATCAAGACAGTATCTACAGATGAGAAAGATCATTACCAGGTAGTTCAGGGCACCAGCTATTTCTGGAAGGGAAGAAAATGTTAGGTAAACAGACTGAGATCATTACTACAAGTTAGGGGATAGTGACGGTCTAAACCCAGGCATGCAGTGGAGAGAGACTGTGTATGTAACACCTACAACAAAATCAGCACTTGGTGATTGTTTGGAAGATGGGGATGGAAAGGGAATAGAGGAAAGCTGATTCACTCTGGTTCTTTCTGACCAAGTACAATATTCCTAAATATTCACCTTCCTCTTGCGGCCTTGTTCCACCCGCTGCCATGCTCACTCTCATTGTCCTGGCTGATCTAGTCACCAGAAACGACTTTCTTTCATGCTTGTCTGTCTAGTGCTAAGGAAAGAAGCTACTTCAATCACTACGACTGCCAAGCCCATGCTTATGGTCGTATCACGTTATTAGTATAGTGCAGCCCATCAAATGGTGTTTTGCACATTAATTTGTTCATCCCAAGTAAACGAACCCCTATATCACAGAAGGCAGGAAATCACGACATTCTACTTTTTCATAGAGAAGGACCTAGTTCTAAATTTAACAGCCTCTACCAACCAATTAGAAGTCAACGGATTATTTAAGTCTTGTGGGGTTTTGTTTATTTGGGAGTTTTGTTATTTGTTTGTCTGTGGGTGCAGTAGACCAGGTAGGCCTTGATCTCACAGAGATTAGCCTGCTCTCAGCCACCTGAGTGCTGCAGTCAGTTAACTACAATGAATCGAGGCCACATTTATTGGACGGCTTCTTTTTTTTTTTTTAGGTTTTTCGAGACAGGGTTTCTCTGTGTAGTCCTGGCTGTCCTGGATCTCACTCTGTAGACCAGGCTGGCCTCGAACTCAGAAATCCGCCTGCCTCTGTCTCCGTTGGACGGCTTCTTTTTCCACACCTTAAGTGCTTTTTGCAGCTAGACCATCTGTCCAGCCTTTGTCATCTGATCCACTCCTAATTTGCTTTAAGACCCACATAACTGCCATCTCCTCAGGAAAACATTCCCCAAAAGAAGTGGTCATCCCAGCTTGACATACTGCCCACTTTACTTACACTCTAAGCTTCTAGACCTCGAGCCATCTGCATTGCCAGCACAGCGCCTGACATTCAGTACGTCCCCGATAAACAAATGCCATTCACTCAACAAATATGCAAGGATAGCAGTACACCTTAACCATTGTTAGTCCCCTAGGTAGGCCATCAAGACATGAAAAGGGAACAGTCTCGACAATAGATCTGAAATGGTACAAAGCTTATATTAAAGTCAATGGCAAAGTTCTTACAAATGGCATTAGCGGAGACTGCTGAACAGAACATGCTTTGCAGGCACTTTTAGCGCATATATAAAAGCCATCGACAGGCTGCTTCTGATGGAAATCGTTTTTTCTACATTCTCTGGGGCTACGGCTAGTCACGCTAAATATCACTTATCCCTAATAGCACTCACGTTCCCCGGAGAGATGTTTAAATCAATTGCCTAACAGACCTCGCTCCAATGCAACTGAACAAGTCTTCGGGGACCACAAAAGCAGAGATGACAGGGTTCGTAAGGTTAACAAAGCTTCGGTCACACATTACTCTGCTGAGGTTCGGGAAGCAGCAGTTGCAAAAAACCCGAGGCCGCTCACCTTCGAGGATGGATACGACGATGAGCAGCTGGTCAGACTTGGGGACCATGGTCGCGGCGGCGGGGTCTGCAGGAAAGAGGCCGAGTGAGTGCGCAGGCCGGCCCCGTTCCCCGAGCCGCCGCCAAGGCCCTAACCCAGCGCCGGCTCGGCGAACGCTGCTCCGCTGCCCGGCCCTGCTGCCCAACAAGCCCGCCACCCCGGCACCTTTTGCCGCCTGCTAAGCAGCTATTCAAACGCCCGGGCAGCCGCAGCGGACGCCGCCGCGCCCCGCTTCCGCCTAGCAACCAGGCCCGCAGGCCGAGAGCCCGGGGGAGGCTGGAGGACAAAGGGCGATAGAGACCAGGGCAGTCGAGGATAGAACGCCCATCTGCCGGCTTCACCTCCCGCCCTTTGACGCTCTTTCCGAGAGCCCTGGGGAGACTCGGCTGCATTAGCCCGCAGCGCCGCCTGCTGGTGGCACGCGGAAAGGCAGGAGACTTGAACCACCCCCTGACACACACACCCTACCCCCCACCCCCACCCCCGTCACAGCCGCGCAAGCGCACCATTGCCCTAAACGCTTCCCGGTCCTGCGTAGTTTGGCTCTTGAAAGAGTAGGAGGGCAGTGTGTTTTGAGGCTTATGTTCGGCGTTAATCAGAGAAATAAAACAATAGCGTTTTTCAATGCTAGTTCTCAAGCACCTGGTATCAACAGAACTGAATGTATTGTCACAAAGAAATTAATGGCCTGAGTGTGAACTGTTCATGCTCATCACTTTCGACTATTTGTCCTATGAAAACAAGTAGCGTCAATACGGTAGTTAATGTAACTGCTGGCGTTGACGTAATTTAAGCTGTAGTTTAGAAACACCTCTAAAAGGAGAGAAAGAGAAAAAAAAAACACATCGTCACGTGGGCAAGAATATTTAAAGACGTAGGTTCTACGCAGACATAGTAAATTTGCAAAATCAAGGGCAAAAGTTAAAGCGTGGAAGGAACGTCCCCTTCTGATTTCAAACGTATTTTTGGAGGGGGGGTGGTGGAGATTAGATGTATTTTGAAGTTCATCTAATTTAAAACCTAAAAGGTGAACCGGTTGGAACCATCGTGGACACTGTTAGCGTTAAAATTTGCAAGAATTCCACCCGGAAAGTCAAAAGTAAAACACATTAACAGGTAATAGGACAAAAGATAAAATAGCTGAAGTGAGATCTCACGAAGTAGTGGACTAAGTGTGCTGACAACTGCTGCTTTCTTGCTCTGTAAACCCAGAAGATGTTTTGAGAAAAATTATAATTCAATCTCTGAGCCCTGCTGTTATTTTCTGCACTGTGGAGACTGAGCTAGATTACCTGTAAAGCCCTTCAAGGCTCCTGAGAGGTTTTGCTGAAATGTGTTATTCATATAAAACTAAAGTGACGTTCAATTGTGTGCGTTATTGAGCACTGTATTCTTTTCTGGAGAATATCTAAAAGTAAGAAGAATCACAGCCGGCTTATGTGAGAAGCATTTTTTTTTCTATCCAAGGTGCTATGTTAAATGCTATATAGTTATCTTTTTACGTGAATAATCACTTGACTTAATCGCTATAAAAAACTGACCTTTTTATCATTTATATTTTTTATTTAAAACATACAGTTATTTTCCTTTAGTATATCCACCAAGGCTGAAAACCCAGATTAGATTATCGCTACAGTCCAGAAAATAGTCACATCATTTTAAAAAATCTGTAAAATTAATCAAATGAATTTAGATGAAGGGTGGGGGGAGGCCGTGAAGAGATGGCTTTGAAGTTAATAGTACTTGATGCTCTTCCACAGGACTTGAGTTCAGTTCCTGGCACCCATGCAGGCAACTCACAACTATCTGTAATTTCAGTGCCATAGAGTTCCAACGACCTCTCTGGTTTCCAAAGGGCATGCGCACATGTGAAACACACACACACACACACACAGATTTTTTTGTAGTAAAATTTTTGATATAGCTCTCTTTTCAAAACATATTACATTTCGTGTGTGTGTGTATGTGTGTGTGTGTGTGTGTGTGTTGTGGGAGCACACTTAAAGGTCAGAGGAAAACTTCTGGAAGTCAGTTCTCTCCTTTTACTATGTGGTATCCTAAGGATCAAACTCAGGTCGTCAGGTCAGGCATGGCAGCAGGTGCCTTTACTTGCTAAGCTATTGCAGTAATGTTTCACTAAATGTCATTTGTGAAGTCACCTCACTGGAGCTGCTGACCAGCTGCGTGGCGCCTTTATTTTCACAGACTGCACAAAATTAATGATGTGGAAGTTGCCATGTACAAATGGACTGTAATTCCATCATCACCTAAGTCCATGGTTCCATAATCTAATTCCCTTGTTGTTGTCTAAACAAGAGGTTTCAGTTCTAGCATAAAGCATCACATATTAGTTTAAATTCCTCAGAGGAAATTTTATTACAGGTTTATGAAGTACCGAATACATAAGAAAATGTTTATAGCATATGTAAATTGTATCCATTAAATAATGGAAGATTCATCACACTACCAGCATACAAAGTATGTAAATTCAAACTGACAGTTTGTCAACCTGCTAGCTAACTGTATTAGATAGCTTTCTATTTCTATAAATTTCTGCAATCAAAAGGGCATCAGTTCATAGCAATCCCTTTTTTTCTATATCTATTTAACATTTTGGATAAACCTTGCTCTTGTAGTATTTTTATGTTTTATTTTTAACAACTTCTGTGGCATACTACAGAAGAAATTATAAATTATATTAATATTTCCTCTCTTTAGCTCATCTCCATATAACATATAAACAGGCCCAGAGATATATATTTAATAAAACTAAAACGAGCTCCCATGACTAATAAAATTAACACACTTATAGAATACCTGCTGTTTGTAAAAATGCAATTTTAAAACCTGACCTCTGAGAACTGCTTAGAAAAACAGTCTCCATCTGAAGAAGGAATGAGCTGGGTGTGGAGGCATTTACCTTTGTAATACCAGTACTCAAGGGGCTGAGGCAGGAGGATTCCTGTAAATTCTAGGACAACCTGGGCTGTAGAGTGAGACCTTGACTCTAAATCAGAAAGACAACTGCTCCAAGGCTCAGGGCTTTTCACTGAAGAGAGGACAGAAGGTGTGAGTGCTGAAGAGCAAAGTGTTGTGACATGTTGTGACAGTTGGTGTGACATGGCCATTGGACTTATGCAGTTATAGTTACATGCACTAGATGTCCACCTAGTCAAGACAAGATCAGCCAGCATTTCCAGCAGACAATACTAATTGGACTCAGTGGTCACAGGAGAGAGAAAGACAGACAGACAGACAGACAGACAGACAGACAAAAGAAAGGAGGGGACACGAAGGTAGGGAGGCAGATGTGTTGGAGGGTGTTGGAGGCAGTAAGAGAGAATTCAGGGTGTGAGCAAATACATTGTTTTCATGTATAAAAATGTCAAAAAAATAAATAACTCAGGACCTCTGGAAGAGCAATCAGTGCTCTTAACAGCTGAGCCACCTCTCCAACCCTCTGCCTGGCTTTTATGTGTGTTCTGTAACTCTAAACATCAGTCCTCTTACTTTCCCAGCAAGTGCTTTATCCACAGGGCCAGCTGCCTAATCCTCACAAGATTTTTATGAGGATTAAACAGCATCCTTTCTGTGACAGGCTTTTGTTTCAATATTAAAAGATCGTTTGTTACAGAGTTATATTCAGATTTATCTCTCTTTCCAGGTCTGCAAAGATAACCAAGTTCTTTATATTCTCTCAGTTTGGCCTAGACCTATATTCTTGGAGGGAATGTCTCCTGAACAATCTTACTCTCTGGCTTTTATGAAGCCAGAACATCCCAGTAGCTCAAAGCTTGAAATGAGTGGTGACTCAGCAGGTCCCTGGGCACAGGCGGGACACCACAGCTGTGCAGGAGGTGGCTCTTCTCGGGCTGATTGTTGGCACATAGTTGTTTATTACAATCTTCCAGTCATCACAAGAAGCGGGAATTATAGATTCCGCTGTGAAACCATCCAAATTTTAAATGCTGAGGTTGAGTTTCAGTGTAAAACAACGACAAACAACAACAAAATATTTGCTGCGTACAGGCTAGTTACCTCTAGCCCGAATCTGCAGAAGTGCTTATCACAATTAGTGCCTCCAGTGGGCAAAGATAAGTGTAATCAGGAAGAGACTGCCCAAAACTGGGAAGCAAAGGGCGGAGTGTGGAGTGGCGGAGATTTACAGCCTACTCCCAGGTGGAACCCTAGAGAGCTGCGCAAAAAGGGAGATGGAGATCTTTGCCTCTGTTCCACAAGCCTCTGATTTGAGACGGGGTCAACTAATGCACTAGACTTCCAGGAACCAAGCAGGTTCAGATGGTTCCCATCTCCTAAGTGACCAGCAAGGCAAAGCCTGGAGAGCCTTCTCCTAGCACTTGGATTTCCCCCAGCATTTGCTCCGGAACGTGGCATGTTTATGGTAAACTCTGTTTCAAGGGCGCCCCCCCCCCGGGGGGGGGGGGGAAGCCAGTGATGACAGGGACCAACTTCCAGCTTAAGTGGAGTTTGGGTTGAGCCTAAGAGCTGCAGAAAAGCAACATTTTTGTATATTGTCCTCATGGTGTCCTCTTTGAGGGTAATGTTGGGCTTGGGCGTGAACAGGCTCTGAAACATCCTGTTTGTCACAGTAGCTCTTTCGAGGGCAGGTGTAGAGTGGAGGGTGAGAGGAGGCCATCTCTTACTCTGCAGAAGAAGGCAGATCTAGGGAAAGTTCTGGAACTGTGACAAAGGAATAGAAAATGCAACTTAACGGCTTGGGGGATGCTGCTTAGTCCGGAGAATTCTTGCCAAGCATGTGGAAAGCTCTAGGTTCTATCCTCATCGATGCATAGCAATGGGCACACTAGTTGTAGCACTAGGAGGTAGAGGCAGGAAGATCAGAAGTTCCAAGGCCAGCCTCTTTACTAGGTGAGTTTGAGCCAGCCTGGGATACATGAAAATCTATTACAAAAAAAAAAAAAAGAAAGGAAAAGGTGCGAAAATTTGCAGTGGTTATGAATCTTAATGTAAAAATCTGATATGTATGCAGGATAGCTGTGGGGTCGCGACCCCCACTGAGAATCACTGCCTCAATCTGTCTCACTGCAATAAAGGCAGTTGTTTTATACAAGTCTGATGACCTGAGCTCCATCCTCAGAAGCCATGTAAAGGTGGATTCAGAGAACCAACACATGAAGCTGTCCTCTGACTTCAATATACATGCTGCAGCTAGTGTGCCCACCCCTACATACAATGCTCTTGCACTCCCTGAAGATACACACACACACACACACACACACAC